TTCTAAAAAGTTCGTCAAAAACTCGGGAGCTTTTCGAAACATGTCTCAGCTCCAGTGCCTTGCCGGAAAAGTTTTTTTTTTAAAGTGAATTTACGTGGTTTTTTTTTCGGTTATGCTGACTGACTCTGGTTCAGCCCATATAACCACTTTGGACATTTGAAGACCAGGTGTGAAAATCCTGTTTCGCTCAAGAATTCAGACACAAGTTCATTTTCACAGTCTGCTTTATATCAACAACGTAGAGGTGGCTCTAGCGAACAAAATGATATGAAGTGCATCTGGTACCGCAGATGGAGCCATGGTCTTCTTAACTGCCCCCCCCCCTTCCTGGCAAAAGAATCAAGGCCGCGGTGCAACACGCCGTGAAATCTCGTTTTGGGGAAGCGTGCACTGATGTTCATACCTGTCAATCTATTGCTTCTCAGTTATCTTCTTTGGCAGTTATGTAATGGAAGACATAGCATGGCATGTCATTAGAGAACGAGGTGCGAAGTAGCACCAACCGGGCAAACGATTCATCAGTACGAAGAGAGATCGTGCGGGGGCAATTGCTGCGTTCAGGACTTCCTTGGACGGCTGAGGAGTCGCTTCCTTGCAACTCAGTACTTAATGCATTGCGCTGGATATGTAAACAGCTTCAGTGCCTTACGAGCCGGGGTTCATTTTGGTAGATGTTATCCGTTCGATGGTAGCTGTTCTTTTTGCAGCTGGGCAGACTTCCAGTTTAGGTGCTTCTGGTTTGTGGATGGAACACTGGTATACAAGGAACACCCTGAGGATGCCAATTACCTCAAAAGCTGCTTACCTTCTACTTGTGTTTGCTACTCACTTCCAAACATACGAGACTAATCATTACAGTTGCAAATGAGAATGTTGACCAACAACGCTCGTTGCGCAGCTCATTTCCGCAATCCAAATTATGTCCACGTAGACACATGCTGCAATGGTGATGTCTTCAGACTTTCACCTTTTAGGTACAATGTTTGGACAGCAATGAAATTAATATGAATGTGAAAAGTAACGAGTTCCTGTGCGTTACGATAGGTAGCAGCATCTTCATCTTCATCTTCCATCGCTGCTTCTCCTTTCGGGTCGCGGAGGCCGACGCGTCAGACAGTGCTTCCAACGTTCCCGAT